TGTGAGATGAGTGGGTTGCCACTGACAGGTAGGGTGGTAATTTTGATAGTGTTTTCAAGTCCATCAGTCATTTCTGGGAAGCTCCTGTCTTCACAGAATCACAGAAGGGTTGAGGTTGGAAGGGACTTCTGAAGGTCATCTGGTCCAAACACCCTGCTCAAGCAGGGACTCTTAGAGCACATGAACCAGGATTTTATCCAGACAGTTTTTTAATATCTCCAGGGAGGGAGATTCTACAACCCCTCTGGGCAACCTGTGCCAGTGTTCAGTCACCCTCACAGTAAAGAAGTTCTTCCTTATGTTCAGGTGGAACTTCCTATGCTGCAGTTTATGCCCGTTGCCTTTTATCCTATTGTTGGGTACCAATGAGAAGAGTCTGGCCCCATCCTCTAGACACTCTCCCTTTAGACATTTATAAACATTAATCAGATCCTCTCTGAGTCATCTTTTCTCCAGGCTGAACAGGCCCAGCTCCCTCAACCTTTCCTCATATGAAAGATGCTCCAGTCCTTTAATCATCTCAGTCACCCTTCACTGGACACGCTTCAGGAGTTCCATGTCCTTCCTGTACTGGGGAGCCCAGAACTGGACACAGTACTCCACAATACAATACACAATACTTGCTCCTTTGTGAAACCACTGAAATCTAGTGTATAAACGAACCTCTGGCAGTGTTTTTGCTCTGAGATTTTTAAACTTCTTTTGGGTTTCTCTGCGAGTTTTCATACTGCTTTAAAGAAAAACAAAACTATTTGCACAAAAATAATCAGCAGATCTTTATTCCTCTGCTCACGCTGCAAGCAGTGCATTGGGTGTTAGTGTGACAGCTGCTGTGGGAATGCGTTACACAAGAATATGGGGATCGAGCCTTCAGAAATTATTTCCAGCAATACAACTTAGATGTCTTTGTGAAACATGGCATATGTTTTTACCTATATCCGGCCTCAGTGTGTGCATATCAGTTCAGTGTGAAAATCTGCATCTCATTTATTTCTTTTTTTGTGTTAATGCCTTTTTCCCCATGAAAATTCTCTGGCCCATTGCACAAGATTTAGAAGTTATACATACCTCAGCAACCAGGGAGATGCTGTCCACATCTTCTCTGTCCCCATCCAAAATATAAAAAACCCCATATGTATTATGTGCTGCCTGGGTTGCCATGGTAAGTCTGTTTTTTCCATTGATCTTTAGAGAAGCAACATGTGAAATGCATGCTACTCCCCAACACCCAACTTAATGCTGTGCTGAGCTTGAAAGGATTTCTGAAGGAGAAGCACCTGCTCCAAAGGCTACCCTACTATGAAAAGAAAAAAAGTGGTATTTTAGACCAGTTGATCTCCTTATATTGTGCCAGGGTAGTATGCATAATTTAAAGCTGGCTTACTAATACAACCTATAACTCACTTTGGGAAGTGCTGGGCAGGGAGAGCAATAATCAGAAATTTGTGTACTGAACTGATGTTTAATCTTTTTAGCTTGAATGGCTGCAGTGATAGCCAGGGTCAGCTCCCCCTCATTTTTTTCCAGCCATCCCAGTTAATTTTGAGGATGAACTCCATGAACTGAATGCATTACCCTTCACACAGCTTCCACCTTATGACAAGCCTCACTCACTGGTCTAAAGCTCACCATTCACCATCCATATTCCTTTGCACCCCTGCTACCTCCACTCACCAACCACAGAGCTTGCTCTATGGCAGCTCTCTTCCCTCCAAAACGGAGGCATTTTTAACACGCAATGGCAGCTGCGCTGTTTGAGGTTGTGATCTCCTATGCCTAACTCCCCCTGCACTTAACTCTTTGTTTCATCTGCCCTTCTACATAGAATCATAGGATGATTTGGGTTGGAAGGGACTTTTAAAGGTCATCTAGTCCAACCCCCATGCAGTGAGCAGGGACATCTTCGACTAGATCAGGTTGCTCAGAGCCCCGTCCAACCTGACCTTGAAGGTTTGCAGGGATGGGGCTTCTCCCACCTCTCTGGGCAACCTGGGCCAGTGTTTCACCACCCTCATTGTAAAAAATTTCTTCCTTATATCTAGTGTAAATCTACCCTCATTTAGTTTAAGACCATCACCCCTTGTCCTGTCGCTACATGTGCCTGTGTACAATGTACACACTCCTTCAGCCCTACACACAGTTTACAGCTGCTCTCTCTCAAAGTCCAAACGTTCCACTCTTTGTCAGCCAAGTTTTACAATTTCCAGTATGTACTTGCTTGCATATCCCACTAGCATGTACGTGCTGCTGGGTATTCATTAGGTGTGATTTGGTCACAGCTGATTTTACTCCTTACCTCATGTTTGGTGTACTTTGAACTCAAAAACGAACTTCAGAAAGATGACTACAAAGTACTTGTACTAAAAGGCTATTTCTCCAGTACTGCTGTAAAAAACCCAGCAGTTCTTCAAAATGGTATTGGAAAGATGGACACAAAATAATTTGTTCATACTCTGGTTTTGTAGTTATATTGTAGAAAATGCTAAGAACTTTTTCTGTATTTAACAATATTTGAATGTTTTAGATTTATTCCTCACTCTTTCACTAATCTTGTGAAGTTGTCAAAAACACCTCAGTTTACTCGCCTATAAATTTCATAGAATTCTTCTTTGCCTTAGGGAAAAGATTGCAGGATTAAAGATTATTATCTTATATCTTTCAAGAAATGAAATGCCTTCTGAAAATTTACCCAGTAAAGAAGGGTAGTATTATTAATAGCAAAGATCTCTAACTTTTATTCTGAGTTTATTTATGTAAAAGTAAGCTCCTGAATTGAAGCACAGCCAGCGAAGTTTAGGAATATGTATTACATACTGCAACAGTGAACAAAACTAATTTTATTTGTCCTTTCAAAATAAATGTTGTAAAAGTAAAATAATTCATAACAATTCTGTATATCTCTCTGGTTTCTAGTGACATAAATATAACTCTTGCATCTCTGGCTTTTTAATTTTATTCCACCAGAAGTCCCTGACTGGGATAGCAGATATGGTATAGCTGCATACAGATACATTTACTGCTATGTATTCTAAGAAAATATAGACTGAGGGTAAAAAGGTTGAGTTGAAAATAAGTATTCCTCATGTAGCAGAGAGGTATTCTCTGCTTTCCTCTTCTAAATCATAAGTAAGTCTCATCAGACTGGGTCAGATCTTTTTGTTTCCTCAGTTTTGAGTATTGAGATTGGGCTCTGAATATTACAGCCTCACCCCTCACAGCATCTGATTTCATTTAGTATAATTAAGCCCAGAAAGTTGCCACATTTGTCCTGACAATAGTCGGGCTTGAATGTACATTTACAGCTGTTGTCAGGAGAGTTCTTATCTTGCTTTGCATTAACACACTGAAACATACCTCCAAAATGTGTTAATTAAATTTTCTGGAATTATATAACTTGCCAAAAAAAATTATAATTAAAAAAATGCGTTTAAATGTATTTATGTATCTAAAATAAATCTTTTCCTATGTACCGTGTAATCATATTTAAACAATGAAATGGGATAGTACTGTTCCTTTGAAACTGGCAGTGCCTTTGATTTACTTGTAAGTAGTTGTTTCAGAGTTATTGCCATAGTTCAATCTCTTTTCCTTAATCTCTTTAAATTAATCCATCTACCCAACAAATACTGAAAATGTTGTGAAGTCAACATCAAGAATTTTTATACCTCCTATTAGTGTTAGTTTTATTTTAATAAATCCCTTCCATCAGACAGATCTAGAAGTCTGTGTAATCTTCTGTAAAGGTAACAAATAGTATTAGAATTGCAAAGTAGATGCTAAGAAGTACATAAGTACTTTATAACCTTGTTATGTGTTTCCTACAGGGTTGATCCAGTGCCCCATGATGCCCCCAAACCTCCAGGATATACACGATTTGTCTGTATTTCTGATACTCACTCAAGAACTGATCCCATCCAAATGCCATATGGTGATGTGTTAATACATGCTGGTGATTTTACTGAGCTGGGACTTCCTAGTGAAGTAAAAAAATTCAACGAGTGGCTAGGTAGGTATTGAATTCTGTGTGGATTTGAAAGTAAATTTGTTTACTGATTATATCTGCTCCTTCTGCCTCCCAGTAAAAACCTCATGTGCTCAGAAATGATGAATATTAGTTTGACTTGTAAATTTGAATGGCAATGAGCAGGAATCAGATTTTTTTCTGTTTTTTTTTTTAACAAATATTTTTGCATTTTTCCAACTGAGCAAATTAGATTCGTGAGACTATTCATCTGTTCTGCCTTCACACTCTCAAGTGTACATTAAGCAACTTCTTGGTGTTGGCACAATTTAAGTCAGTAGGCCTTTAATGATTTACATAAAACCTCTTACATACATTGTTATGGCTTTGCTTTGAAAAAAGTTGTTGTGACTGAAAACATTTGTCTGTTTAACCCCTGAGGCTCATAGTTTTTTTTATTTGAGGCTCAGCTGCACTACAGCGATGCATTCCAAACAAAGCAAAACGTGTGCCTGTGGTCGCTGTCTTGGATGTAGCAGACCAGATGTAGATGCCTTCTATAGGCAACTGTTGGCATTGGTAACTGAAATTCTGTTCCACTGGGCAAGAGAGTAGTGATTTACATGTGCTTCTGCAATGTTTTGTATATGCTAAAAAAAATGACAGTGAAAATTGGAAAGCATACACTGTATCCAGACAAAAACCTTGATCGGTATTGTTCCTGCAGCAGTGTCGATACCTTAATTTAGAATAAAAATGGACTCTGGATTCTGATACTTCATTATCAAAAAAAGGGTGAGAGGAAATGAAGGAATTGGAGAGAGAAAGGACACAGTTTAAGGGTCATGGATTTCTGGTTTTAGGTTGATTTTCTTTCCTGCAGTTGATATTTTTGAAATTTTCCGGTGGTTTTTTGCTACATATTACAGCATTCCACACTGGGAAAGCACAAAGCAGACAGATGCGTGTAGGCTCAAATGGAATATAAAAAACAGTCAGGACTTCACAATTTAAACAAATATTTACTATCAAATAATTATCAGCAAGGCTGATAAATATTTATTGGAGCTTGGGAACTCAATACCATGCCCCACATGGACAATTGCATTGTTCTGTGGGTATCAAGGTAGGGACAGCATATGGAAGTAGCAGACTGTTATAGTGCGCTCACCTCTGTCTCTGCACCCACATGGAACAGGTTGGTTGTAAAACAGAAAGCAAATTTTAATCCTGTTTTGTAGGTCTCTACCATGTATTATAATAATATACTGAAAATAGCATATAAAGATTATACAATCCATATGATTATCCCTTCTAACTAATACCCATTTCATTTATCTGCTAGTGTGGGAAGAAAAGCACTTTAGGATATTGCTAGTGAACAAGTATGGGAGCTACACACATTACTTGATGCACAGGTTTTTGTCTCCCTAGTTCTCCATCTGCCTCCCTGCTGGTCACAGCTGTACAGTGTTCTGAAGAAGTCCTTCAGCTGAAATCCTCTCCGTATGGTAGGGAGATTTCCCAAGGCATTTATCTAATCATCTTTTCATAATTTTTATTCCAAAAGAAGGCTTAATTTTCTAACTTTTTAGGCATGCTTCCAATTTCATGGTAGTGTGTGGTTTGGGAAAAGGTGATCTTTGTGGTTTGAGTTATATTTTTGCAAGAACATCTTTGAGATATGCAAATTTAGCAAGTTAAAGGTTTTTTTTTAGTTTCTTGGCGATTTGAAAAATGCAAAATTTATCTTAATTTTTTCATTCATTCTGGAAAATCCAATAGAAAAATAATTTGGGGTCACTATGTAGGTTTCATTCAGCTAGCTTTTAAAGTTTTGTTCCAGTTCAAAATTGTAAACTGTTTTAAAAAATTATAGTCAATGAGATTTCAAAATGGAAACTTTTACCTTTTTTGAAAGGTTTTTTTTTGTTTTAAATGAACAATTTATCAACTCTTTAATACCCTGAATATGTGAAAAACCCACAGTAAATAGTATAATAGTTAAAAGTGTTCTCTTTGAGAAAAAAAATTTCAAAAGTTTTTGGCTGGTTGTCCGTTTTGTTGTGAAAGGCACTAGTCTCCAACAGTTTTGATTATTCTAGATATCTTCTTCCAGTACCTGCCATAATTTTGCAACTCCCACAGCCTGCCCAGCCTTTTCCTTCTTCCTCGTCTTAACTTTTTACAAGTTTCTTGAGAAAGTAATTGACAGATCTGCAGGGTCCTCCACAGTCATTCTTACGTGCTGCCACCAAACTTCCCTGTCTGTTCTTTCATCCCATAGCACAGGGCTCACCTTCCCACTTGGTTATTTTCTTCTATGTCAAATCTCTCTCCTCTGCATTATTAGATTGTAACTTTGTTTATGCCATGGAATAAACATTAGAATATTTGTTACACTTTCCCTTGATCTCAGCTTCCTCTTAGACACAAGATACATATCCTACTCCTGCTTTTGTGCCATATCTTTATGTGTAGCTTTGATTCCTACCTTTTAGCCTTCTATTCCATCATATCCTCTTGGGTCTGTGCCACTCTGGTCCATCAGCCTATTTAATCCTTCCAAAAGGCCCTTCAGCAAGTTCAGATTTTATCTTTCTGTTCTATTCAGATTTTATCTTTCTGTTCTGTGTAAAATTTCTGTGCCTGTCTGATGCAAAGTATATTTTACTTTAACATCATTAACTTCCATGGACCTTATGGTTATATAGAGCACATGCTCAAGTGTTGTGCTAATAGAGGCAAGTTGGCTTGCTGAATCATACTCTAAAATATGTTCTCTCTTTTTTAGGCTAACTGTACTTGGTCTGCCCCTTAGTCACGTAGTTTTACACTTTTTATCCTCTAACCCCTAAAGCCCTCCACTTCATATCATTTCACTTTGTTCTTTTTGGTAATTAGTTGTTTTCTTTCACTTTTATTTTTCTTAAAGCCCCCTCCTGTCTTCCCAGGTAGGGATTTGAGGTTTTACGAGGGCTAGGTTGATGCCTAACTCTATGGAGGAGATTAAATACTGGTGATAACGGGACGTGCATATTTTCTCAGCTTTCGCTGGTAGGCAGTCCAAGGACTTCTTGAGCCACAGCATTACTTTGTATTTAATATATAGATTTTTCTTCACTTAATTTTTTAATTTCCTTTTGGATCTAGGCAAATTTTGAGGGCCAACACAATCTTGCGTCAGGGTTCCACAATGTGATATGGATTGTGTGAAGAACTTAACTTATTTTGAGCCTGTCACCTACTAGTTTCACTTGGTATTTCCTAATACTGGAAGAGGCAAGTGAACAATTTCATTCTTTGTTCTGCCTAAGAATTTATAGGCTCTTCTCATATCTGCCCTTATAATATTTTTCAGGCCGAAGACTGTTTAGAAGTCCTTAAATACCTTTGATCATCCGTGTCACTCTTTGTACCTCTTTGTTCTATATCCTTTTAAAAATAGTGAGATCAGAACTGCACATGATCTGAGTACACCACACATTTATCCACTGGCATAATGAAATTTCCTAGTTTGTTTTCTTTTCCTTTCTAGTGTTGTGGATTACTCTGTTTTTATTTTTGTGTGACTGAACAATAAGATGGCATTTTCATAAAATTGCCTATTACAACTCTATGAACTCTTTCCTGAATGGTAATATCTAGTTCAGAACCCATCAGTGTGTATCTATAGTTGGTAAATTTTTTCCAGCACTTGAATTATTCTGCATAAATTCATATTCAGTTTCATCTGTCCTCTTATTGCCCAGTCATGCAATATCATGATGTACTTTTGCAAGTCAGATTCCTATTTTGCTACCTTTATTCAGGGTAGCTTAGAAAAAGAAGGGAAAAAGAGATGAAAAGTCAGTTTACAAAGCTTGCCAATGGTGCCAACCTGGTCATTTCCCTTCCTTGTCTTCCCAAATTGACCTTTCTCCTGTTTTTATGTTTCATCTTTTCCTTTTTTAACCTAGTTTCTTCTCTGATTGTATTTTTCTTCCAAATTTAAAAAGCAGTTTTGGAGAATCAGAAAAAATGAAGTACAAAATATGTATTATGGTAGGACCAAACGGAAGGCCATGAGGCCAGTGAAACTTTCTAATGACCATGGTATGACAGCTTTGAACATATGCTAATTTTCCAGTACATCCAGGAAATTTTAATAATATCACTTTAAACAGCCAAAAATAGTTCAGGGGAATTGTTTCTAAATACATGGACCTGTTGGATTGGGTCAGAGGAGGCCACACAAATGATCAGAGGGATGGAACACCTCTCCTGTGAAGAAAAGCTGAGAGTTGGGATTGTTCAGCATGGAGAAGAGGCGGCTCTGGGGAGACATTATTGTAGACTTTCAATATATAAAGGGGGCTTATAAGAAAGATGAAGAAAGACTTTTTAGCAGGGCCTGTCCAGACAGGACAAGGGGCAGCAGTTTTAGACTGAAAAAGGGTAGATTAAGATTGGATCTAAGGAAATAATTTTTTACAGTGAGGGTGTTGAGACGCTGGAACAGGTTGCCCAAAGAGGTTGTGGATCTTCCATCACTGAAAATGTTCAAAGTCATGTTGGATGGGGCTTTGAGCAACCTGATCCAGAGAAAAATGTCCCTGCCCATGGCAGGGGGGTTGGACTAGATGATCTTTAAAGGTCCCTTCCAACCCAAACTATTCTATGATTCTATGTAATTAAAGCTAGATAAGGTGGATTATATCATAAGATATATCAACCTTGCTATGCCTTGTAGGTCTCCTTGTCCTCAGCCTTTTCATTATTTTTGTTTTTGTTATTTATTTTCTACCTGCATATAAATCAAATATGTTGTAGGACAAGTACAAAGACACGTGTCCTCCTTTAGTGTATTCATCAAATAATGACTCCAAAACCATCTCTATTTTTTATCTCCCATATTGTTGGCACTGGAAATTGCTTGCTTGGCTCAGTTGCTCTTGTAATTCCCTTTACTCAAGTCTGTAATACTATTTCCAAATTGTGTATGCTCCAGGACCCACAGTCACTTTGAGCTTGTGGGTTAATTTCCTGGAGATTTAACTAAATAG